CGTCATGTCATGCGTAAGTCGAGCGCTAAACCCTTATGAACTTGCATTAATTGAATCACGTTTTTTTTGTAATGTCCTCATGGAATAAGACTTTTCTTAGAGAATAAATGTGTCATGGAATATAATAAATTTTATTGAATTGAAAGTCTCGTTGAAGACAAAATAATATCTACTGCCACGGATATTTATGTAGGTTGCCATGCGACAGAGATCAACAATCATACCTTCGTCAGCAGTTTCACAAAAATCGGTTATTGATACCGGGGCTTTGCCGTATGAAATAATTTTAGTTCTGAATAAATTTTACATAATACAACTAATATTGATGTAAGTGATGGCTTAGCCTAATGGTTGTGTAGGAAAAATTAGTGTACATAGAACGTGGCGATAATGATGACTTCTACGTTTATGGTTTGAATTTCCTCCTGGTAAGATAGGTACAAAATAAGAAGAAAGCTGCACATTATATTCAAACTCTTAATATCAGTAGGACAGCTGTGCCGATTCTCAGGAAATCTTCATCTATTCCAATGAATAGAAATAAATCATTTTGTCAAAGAAATCATTTCCTTTAGTGTCTGCTTGTGCACTCACATACACAAATCACAAGGTGGTACTTTTGATAAAATTGTATATGAATACCAAAAAACACATAATCAGCAGCTTCTATATGTTGCATATCACTAGTTCCAGCATTAATGGATTGTTCATCATTTCAAAAAATTTATCATGGAAGAAAACGGCCAGCAGGATTAATGACTTAAAAACTGAATTCCAAAGACTTTCAACTTGTAGATTAATAACACAAGAAAAAAATTGAGTGAGATATAAGTTTGAACGACATTTCATTGTTTTCCTTTAAATTGCCAAAGTTTACGAGCTCATTTGCCTGATCTGCAAGATAAAGTTGCTACAACGTTGTACGTTTTTGTTATTTTCGGAAACTTGGATTAATAATGAAGAACGAATTGATATTCAGAACTATTACTGCGTTACTCAATACAAACGATCAAACTCAAGAGCAGGTGGTTGTAGCTGTCTAATTTCTATCATTCATGTTCAGATACTCTTCATAATGCGACTCCTATGCAGTTTCTTGCGCCAACGATATTACTGGATATTCCTAATGAAATTACACAAGTAGGTGATATTACACACACAGAATCAAACATTAATTATAGTCGTCCTTTACATTTCTCCCAATAAAAACATATCAAATATTATTAAATTGCTTCATCAGCAGTTACTTCATTTTCTTATGAGGGTGCAAAACTTTTAAACACTAATCACAACGAGATACATTAATTCTGCTGGAGATTTCAATGTCAATTTTCGTTCAGAAGAATCTCAACCATTAATTGATTTTTTAAATAATAAAATTTAATTTAACATGAAAATTCTCCATTTGAATCAACCACAAGATATGGCACGACTATTGATGCAGTTTTCTCCAGAAATGTACATAGTTTACAAAGCAAAATTTATGTCTCTCATTTTAGTTATCAAAACCTATTATATCATATATGAAATATGATAGCAATTAATCTATCGATGTTTTTTAAACTGTGTTATTGATGTTATGTGATTATTAATAAATGATTTTAAAATTCAAATATGTTTTTTTATTTTTATCTTAATTGCCTACTCATACAATATTAAAAGTTTTACTTCAATCGCGTGTGATCCTTACGCGCACTCTTTTTTTTTTATTATCTTCATATATATGTTACATTTTTTATATATAAGACGATATTTTCATAAAACAATGAAATCTAATATTTCGATGAATAAAATGTTATTCGAAAAAGATCCTTTTAACCTTGCAGTACACATTGAATTTGACAAAAATTTATTGACCAACAAAATTGAAGATTAAAAAAATTATAAAATTATTATATCTCACAACAAATATGAGTGATTACATTTATATATAGTCACCAACCAAAATTTTATTTCTGTACTAATTCAATACGATTTTACGCATATTGTATCACATCACAAACCGCGCGTCTTCACTCGAACCGTTTGTCCACTAGATCAAAAATTGCCTATAAAAACTAATATAAACCGTACATAGAAACAATAATGCGCACTATAAATATTTGAAACCGAAAATTTGAAACAAAATTTGAAATATTCAACAAAAACAACTACTATCGAAAAACGACTACTAAAAATCAGGCGCGGCAGAGTTGCCCGTGCTACGGTGCTTAGCACACTGGCGCGCGGGCCTCGAGGCCCCGAGCACGGCCACCTACTGCGCAGACGTCGAACCGAAATCTGTTAACTTTTATCATTTCCAGTGACCTGCGATTAGCTCAACAGGTTGCGGAAGCTTGTTGCTCCTGTCTACAAACCTGGAGATTTCGACGACCGAAAGGATTCTGGCTGTTCAATCTAAGATACTATAATTTGTTTTTGTCGGACTGGAAACGATTGGACACATTTTCTGTGAGTTTTGAGCAGTAGTATCGATATAGAAAGCAAAAGTGTGTTCCAAAGACTTGGATTTTTACCTAGCCGTTTAATAGGTTGACTATAGTTAAGCATTGGAAATCGAAAAGTCTATCCTTACGAAGGCGGCTGATATCATGTTAATTTGATTATTTACCGTCAGATATAAAGAGGGCCGGTTCTATCTTGAATGCAACGCAAGCGAAAAATACAAGTGCCAACACAAGATTCAAATATAAAATTTCCAATATAGTTTTTTTTTCAATAAAAGCTGAGAAATATATATTTTTTTGGATCTTTTACTAATCTTTACACAATATTTTTAAAATACTTTAAAAATTTCACTTTAAAGCAACAAATGGGAAAGTTAAGATAAATACATACAATTCAGCCCTTACGTCGTAAACGTAAGGGTTTAGGAGAAGTTTACAATGCAATTTTGGATATCTTAAATAAAAAATTAAATTAAAATAATCCAACATGAAGTACCAGTGTTATGTTATGGTTATGTTTAATAATGAAAAGCTATATTTTTTGCTCAATAGAATAATTTGCATAAAATGCCCAAAATAAATAAGTAAAATGTTTTAACACTTTGGGGACGGCTGTCCACCTCAGTGGACAAACATACTCTGTGAGGCACAGGCTATTTTATAAACAATGATTCAGTTTGCATCGAAAAGTTGAATAAATTACATATAGCAGTGATAAACAGTATTGTATTTTGAAAATAATTATAAATTATTTTAGTAGTATTTTTAGCCTTTTTCTTTGCTTTATGGTCTGTTTTTAATATTCAAAACGACGAGCGCTTTTAAATATGGCAAAACGACTAGTAAATTTTGTGAATTAAGCAATTAAGTAGTGCAGATGACTTTCAAATAGACATTTATAC